CACCTCAGGCAGCAAACCTAAGCTCTACCAATCACATGCTGCCTTTATGCCCTTTTTCCACTAACCCACTTTCTATCGTTATAGATTTGCCTATTCTGGGTATTTCATGGACATTATGTATTATTTGGTGGGATTTTTTTTTTCTTTTTGTGACTGGTGCTCTTTTTTGCACTTAGAAAAGTGTTTTAAAGGTTATTCATAGCCATATGTGCTACAGCATATGTCAATAGTTCATTTGCCCTGTTGACTACCATTGCAGGATTGAAGGAAGACTCATCAACAACTTGCATTATTAGCAAATGAAGAAAAATCACTACAGATCATCCAGAAGAATGAATAGGAGTCCTTTTGTAATACTCACTTAAGAGTACTAGAAATATTTTTGTTTTCTTTTGTTTTCATTTGCTTTTTAACACTTAGTAATAGAATATTAATAATGTGAATTACCTCTATCCATGTTGGTTACCTGGCATACAGAGTTGAAGCAGAGGGCACACCTAGATTGTAAGCAGGCCCAGGAAATCAGAAGAGTTGAAGAGATTAAATCAACTACCATTCCCTCTGTAACAGTATCACATCTCATTTGAGTTTGCTTTTCAAGTATATAAAGGAGAGAGATTCAATCAACTGAATATATGTCTCAAGAGGATATCACAATACATAAGTGATTATAGATAGGACTTTGCACCAGAAAGGGTAAATTGTCCAAGATTTAAGCTTTTAGCCTAAATTTTTCCTTTGCTTGAGGAATCAAGGGCAGGAGGTTCAACATCAGCAAAATAAGAGCCAGGTGTGTGTTATTCCATTTTCCCCTGAGAATAATTCATTGAAGTAAGAATTAACAATTTTTCACACCATAAAACAGATAGCTCTGGTAGCCTAGAGGCAAGAAGCTACACTGTAATCCCAAAAGTGCAGTTCGAATCCCCCAGCTGCCGCATGGGAGAAGGATGGGCACTCTACTCCTATGCTTTTAATTGCCTCCGAAAAACTGCCAGAGGGTCAGCTTTGACAGTACCCAGCAACACAAAACAGATAGTGTAAGTCGCTTACCCAAAATTATACAACCAGGTAGTAATGCGCCATTACTCAAATTTGTTGCAGACCAAGGGTAAAGTATTTTTACAATTATTAATAATGAGACAGACTATCAGGGATGAGATAGAACAGAGAACATAAAAAACAGGGGCCAGCAGTTCCTGACGACTGAAGGCCTCAAGCCATGCCTGTCTCGGTATTTATTGAGAATTATAAGGAAGGTAAACAAAGGAAAATCATAAGGGAGTACAAAACAAAAACAAGGGATCATGGGGAAGTCTTTTGCAGATAAGGGCAAGTTCCTCTCTATTGTTTACTTTATGCTTATCTCAAGGAGGAATTCAGTAAATACAAACTAAGAACAGAGTTGACTCTTAGGGAATGCCTTAGTGCCACAGGGTGACCTTAAGCCTCCCTCATATCCTGATATAGCATTTGGTCTACTATTATTAAATTTGATATTCTGCTTCCCTCACAAATTGAATTCAAATGAACTCTAAAATGGCTATTTAAGACTAATGAATGGTGTGCCTAACACAATGACTATCCCGATAGGTCCTCTCTTCCCAGTAGGATTTCTGGGTTCTTTAAATGCCATTTAGGAAATACAATTATAATGACTTTTGCTTACAAAAGATGTCAGGCTGTCTTTACCCACCATTGACCCAGCTTGTTGCAAAGTCTAAAGCAGCATCGGCCCAGAGAACATGAATGCTATTCTAAGGCTCATCGTCATATTCAGATTACCAGAACCTGTGAGGAAGGACTCAGGGCCAGTCAGCCAAGAGGTGCCATGTTGAAATAGACGCCTTTGTATCAAGTCGAAAACTGCTCCCCTTACCTTTCTTTTGAGGTGTCTCTGGGTGAGCTAGAAGCTCCAATATTTCTAGATAAGCTATGGAAATCATAGGTTCTATCCTCTGAGTCCTGTTGGCTGGAACGGGGGCCAGGTTTAAACTGGAGGCTTAAATAAGAACTCCCTGTTTGGCCAGCTACAGTTGCTCTCAGGTAACTCCTTCTCCTAAGTCAGAGAACTGTTTAGTAACTTACCTTTATTCAAGCAGTTAACTGGAAAATGGTCTTTGACATTAGTAATTTAATATTTATGTATGCATTTCCTTATAGGGTTTATTATTATAATTAATTTTAATGAAAGTTTACAGAGACTTTGGATTCCCATTCATTCATTGTTGCACTTTTCTCCCTGCCCACACACCATTTCGCTCTTCTCTTTTAAAAGTAAAATTCTTTGATTGTTATACAATCCCTGCCCCCAAGTCCATTCCACTGTGCTACCTTCATTCTGGACTTCTGTCATGACAATAATACCTAATCATATATCCCTTTTAAGCAGTTTTTTCCCTCATCTGTTTCAATGCAGTATACATTATGTATCCTCTCTTTCTCAGTCTCCCCTAACCCCGATATCAGTCCTCTTTTATAACAGTGGCTTTATGTAGCATTTGTCTTTTTGTGACTGAGATATTTCACTCAGCATAATGTGCTCCAGGCTCACCCATTTTGTATAATATTTTATATGTTCCATGTTTTTCAGTGCTGCATAGTTTTCCATTGTGTAACTATACCACAGCTTCTCTATCCATTCATTTGTTGATGGGCACTTGGGTTTTTTTCCAAATCTCCGCTATTGTGAACAAAGCTGTGATAAACATGGGTGTACATATATCTGCTTGGGTGGCAGTTATGGTTTCTTTTGGGCATATTCCCAATATTTGAATTGCTGTGTCAAATGGTATTTCTATTTGCAACTTTTTGAGAAAGTACCAGACAGCCTTCCATAGTGGTTGCATCATTTTACACTCCTACCAACAGTGAATAAGGGTTCCAGTTTCTCCTCAACCTTGCCAGTATTTGTTGTTTGCTGTTCTGTTAAATTTTGCTATTCTTACTGGGATGAGATGCTATCTCGTAGTTGTTTTGATAGGTTATTTTATGTATTAAATTCATATTCGTAGCTGACCCCCTTGTAAGTTTTTAGAGGCTGTAAATTGCATCAGAAGAAAATGTCCATCTTTCTCTCAAGAAGCCAATGGTGGATTTGAACCTCCAGAGAAGCACAGCCCTAAGGTTAGCAGGGGAACTCCCTACAGACTATTGTTGGTGTTGATTGCCACTGAGTCGAGTACGATTCATAGTGACCCTATGAACAAAAGACCTGAAGCCTTTCTATAACTATCATTTCCCAAAGTTCATAGAGTGTCCAGAGGCATGTTGTTTAGGAAGTGGATGCCACTCTGTTTCCAACTCTACAAACTAGGCCATCAATTCATTCATATAAGGATTATAATATACTATTTATACAAAGCAATCACTTGTTATGCATCAGAGAGTTGGACAATGACTAGGGAGGATCGAAGGAGAATTGATGCCTTTGAGCTGTGGTGCTAGAGAAGAGTATTGAATGTACCATGGACTGCCAAGAAAACAAACAGATTCATCCTGGAGAGTGTTAAACATGGCTGCTCCTTGGAGGCAAGGATTCTGAGGCTCCATCTAACATACTTCGGACATGTTGTAAGGAGGGGCCTGTCCTTGGAGAGGGACATCATGCTTGGGAGGGTAGAGGGACGGCGCAGGAGGGGAAGGCCCTCTATGAGGTGTATTGATTCAGTGACTGGGGTAATCGGGATGGGTGTGTCAGAGGCAGTGAGATTGGCACAGGATAGAGCAGGGTTTAGGGCTGTTGTACACAGGGTCACTATGAATCGCAAGCAACTAGATGGCGCATAACAACAACAATTTATATAAAGACTATAATATACTAGGGAACTATACTAGGTAGCCTAGCGGCAAGAAGCTGTGCTGCAATCCTGAAAGCACATGGTTCGAGGCCACCAGCTGTTCCACGGAGAAGGCGGGCAATCTCCTCTCATGATTAATTGGAGGACCACTTATGGGTCATTTCCAACTCTATGATACACAATAACAACAACACGATATACTATCTCTAACTTAACTCTCCACTACCTTTTTGTCAGTTTGTAGTACAAACATTCCCTGGGTTACAAATGAGATCCATTACTAAACATGTCTTTAAGTAGAATCTATAGTTAAGTTGAAACAGGTGCTTCAGTTCTTAGGATTTGAAAGCTGCATATGCAGCAAGTGCAGGTGATTATAGGGAGAATTTCTTTCTGGAGTGGCTGCTTCAATTGTTTCAAACCAAACCCGCTACCGTGACTTCCAACCAATAACCTTCTTCTGCATTTCCAAGATTATTAATCTTCATGAGAGGATAGCCTGCGGTCTTTCCCCCAAGAAGCAGCTGGTGAATTCAAACTGCTCACCTCCAGGACAGCAGTGCATTCTGTCATGTACTATGCCGCCAGAGCTCCTTCTAGAACATTAACTATAAAGTGCACATTGTCTGTAAATCAGCGACCCCAGACACTGCCCATGTGTGATGACTTGGAGATTATTGTGATGATGCAAGCTACACCACCAGAACGTCAAACACCGTCAGGGGCATCCGTGATGGACAGATTTTAGTAGCACTTCTAGAATAAGACAAGGACGAAAGGCCTGGCAAGCTGCTTCTGAAAACTAGCCCATAAAAACCCAATAGGTCACACCTACTACCCTTCCAGTGCTGGGCGATGAGTTCCTTAGTGGAAACACAGTCCCAGTTCACAGTGGTGGCACCTGTGTCCTCGAGCCTTCATCCCATGCGGAGAGGGAAAGGTCAGGTGAGTCGGTGGATGGGATGCCAGCTAACGAAACACTCAAATAGACCTTGAGCTTTCCAGTGAGAAGAATGCCCTGTTTTCACTCCTGAATCTGATCTTAGTCAAATTGGAGATGGGTAATGCTTATCTCTGTTGAATGACACACTCGGGTGTCTACTTAAACCTCTCAATGCATTTCGTAAGAGAAAACCCTCATCATTTTCATCTTCTCCCCAAGCCATTCCTCTAGAGAGGACTCCATTTCCCTCAGATCTCTCACAGCTGAAGGCCCCAGTAACTCGCTAAAAGCAGCAGATACCGTGTCGTTAGCAAGCCAGAGACAGGAGAGGCCCGTGCGCGTCCACCGGCCATCCTCACGTCCTCGCAGCGGGCCCCTTGGTAGCCCTGATAGCAGTGACAGGAGAATCTCTCTGCCATCACTGCTAGGTCGGCCTCCGAGGGGCTGCCGGTTACTGTGAGGTCTCCGTCCTCGGAGGCCTCCACGCGGTGGCTGGCAGGGTTGAGGTGAAGGTAGTGGGCAGCTCTCCACCGCCTCCGCATGCACCTGCCGTTGCTCCCGCACAGGTGCTGGCTGCATTCCTCGGCGGCCCTGGTCACGTTGACGATGTAGCGCCCCAGGTCCGAGCTCACAAACTGCTTCACCATCGTGCAGTTGCCCTGGAAACGGAGAAACACCCGGGTTACAGCTGCTAGGCCCACGAGCATCTCTTTAGATCGGATTGGCAGTGACGAGGTGGTCCTAGTTTGTGAAAGCTGAGGGTCCTGGACACTATGGCACAGGTCTTAGAACAGAAGGGGCGGATGTCTGAGGGACAGGGGACGGAGAACAAGTGACAGTCGGGTTCAGTCACTGGGCTTGTAAATCAGGTGAAGCCTGACCCGGCCTACAGAGCTGCCTTCCAGTCACGCGTCCTTTTCAATCCTTTGAGGTCTCACACGAAGGGGAGTGGAGGAAATCGAGAAATGATGCGAGTCAGCCCTGCCTGCTATGCCCCAGACGCCCTTCAGGTATGTGGTACCTTTAACGGTGGTGTCAGAACCCCAGTTATCAAAGGCCATGGACTTCCTGTCAAAAATACTGATTTGAAACCTGGTTTGCAAAGAGTTGAAAGTCTGAATGCCTGAAATGCTATCGGGTGGTTTGGGGTGGGTGGAAAGGGTTGCCTGCATGTAGTAGGGAGAGAGGAGACTGGAGCCTCTGGGTGGTGCAAACGGTCGAAGAACTTAACTGCTAACAGAAAGGTTGGAGGTTCAAATCTGTCCAGAGGCACTGCAGAAAAAAGATGCTGGCTATCTGCATCTGCAGAGTCAGCCACTGTCAGCCGCGTGGAGTGGAGCACAGCTGTGATCTGACACACCTGGGCTTGCCCTGGGGTGTTTGCTTCTTTTGTTTTAAGCCACTACACTTCCTGCTGACCTCTGGGGGTGTGGTCTGCGGGCAGTCGGTGCTAACCGACAGGTGACGCCTCTCTGACTGCTTGAATCCACCTGTGGAGAAAGGTGGGCACCTCCTTCTGTGCTGTTTGCGGTGAGCTTCCAGGTGAAGGTCCTGTTCAGAGCCCCAAGGCCTCAGGACCCTCCTGCAGATGTTCAAGGTTGGAGCAGGGAAGGAGTGTTTGTTGTACTTTTGAAAGAGGGGAGCGAAGTGCAGCAATGAATGAATGGAAATCCAAAATCTCTGTAAATGCTTATTAAAATTATTTTTTAAAAAAGAAAAATGAGATATTAAAAACCAAAAAAACCCCAATAACAAAAGGCCTAGCAGTAAAGACTTGCTCTGCTAACCCCAAGGCATGCAGTTTGAATCCACCAGGTGCTCCGTAGGGTGGAAAAAATGGGCAATCTCTTCGGATTGGAATTGCTATCCTGTGTTTTAGCAGCCTGATAATGTTGTGCTCTATCCTGCCACGGCTCCTAGCAGAAGTCTAGCTCATAGGATCGTTCGTGTTCAACAGCTAATGTTTAACATTGCTAGCATTGTGATTATATCTTAGCAAAATCAGTATTTCTTGAACCCCTGCTACATGCTAGACATTCATCTTGGTTTTCCTTCTACAGCTGACTTATTATGGGGAGGATGCGGGCTTTAATGAGAGAGCGCTACAGAAAAATGGAGAAAATCCTTTATACACACATAGATGTTATTATTACTATTAAGTTGGAGCTGACTCCCAGCTGGCACTCCAGCGGGTTTGCACAGGCAGTAAATCCCACAGGAGGGAATTGCCCATCTGTCCCCCACAGAGCAGCTGGTAGATTCAACCCAGCTGCCAAGCCAGAGGCACGTGGTTCAATGCCACCAGGTGCAGCTGCTCCTGGAATCAGCAATTCCAGGGGAGGAAGGTGGGCGTCTCCTCCCATGCACTTAACTGCCTCTGAAAACCTGCTGGAGGATCACCTGTGAGTTGATTCTGACTCAACAGTATACACCATAACAACGTCATAGCATGTATGTGTGTGTATGTATACATGCATACGTGTATGTGTATGTGTATGTGTGTGTACACATACATAAAAATGCAAGTGTGTGTGTCTGTGCATTGTTTTTATGTGCCATTGAATCAGAAATGACTCACAGCTGACCCTCCAGCAGGTATTCAGAGGCAGTAAATCCCATGGAAGGCGATTGCTCACCTTTCTCCTGTGGATTCAATCCACGTGTCTTTGGGTGACATCACAGCTCCCTAACACTAGACCAGCAGAGCTCCATATATATTGCTGAACCTTCAAGGTGCTGACTTACCTCAGATGATGTTAAATTCAGGTCTCCCCAAATCACAATGCCTGCAGCTCCCAAGGCAGCGCTTTCCCCTATGGTGCTGATGAGGTCTTGCTAGATTCAAGACAGTAGAATTCACCATCAATTTGAGTATGAAACAACCCATCAGGGACTGGTGAATAGGTTCAACATTTGAAAGGTTTGCAACAAGGGGAATCTAGCCCATATAAAAAGTGTTCTCTAGTTTATTTATTTTATATATTTATAAAAATTTAAATGATAAAAAATTAATATATAAAAATTAGATAGATAGATAGATACACTGGTTTATTTACAAAGTTCAAATACATTGTTTTTCACACCAAATTTTTTCCATTTCCTTCATACACACCCTCATCCATCAAATTGTATGACCCTATGATTAACCACCCCCCACCCCCTGCCCATCTGCACCCCTCTGATTCCACACTCCCTTAGATAATATAATAATAATAATAATAATAATAATAATAATGGCACAAATGTTGAATAAGGCAAGGCTGAAAAATCATAATAAGGAAAGATGTGCATCAGGGTTATATCCTTTCTCCACACCCATTCCATGCATATGATATTTCAGTGGAAAACCAAGGGTTGAATTATACAGCTGGTTTTAGTTTGTTAAATTATACTCCACCCCTCCCCATTCCATGGCATAGTCACTCACTACCATCAAGTTGGAGCTGACCCTCCAGCAGATATTCGGGAGGCTGTAAATTGCACAAAAGGCGATTGTATCTTTTTCCCTTGGGATCCCAGATAAACCTAAGTAGTCAGAGTGGGTGAGCGCTGGGTGAGCAGAACAACCCTGTGGATTACACCACCAAAGGGCTCCCCCAGTTACATGCAAGAAAATATAGTTAGACACGCTGGTGACAAATAAGAGCAGAGCTCCAAGCTGCATTTTGCCTTGTACATTCTAAGCTGATACATAATCAGTAAATCTCCAGCACTTTTAAAGTCCATTCAACGGCTTGAAAAATCTCGGTTTCTTAAATTGTTTATGGTCAATATTCGGTGCTTTTTAAAAGGGGGGAGATTTTGGTTTAAACTCATTTTACTTTTAGCCATATGCATCTCCATGTCCTGAGAGAGTAAGTCAGAAGTGAGATGCAGGAAGGGGAGACAGCTCTGAGAGGCACATGAGATGGTTTAAATAAAAGACTTTGAAAGACACTGCTGAACAGGTCTGATGAACAAGGGCCGGTGCAGGAGATGTCCCTGCAGCACTCAGACTGCAGGCTGCTCACCTGAGTCTGTGCCAGTAATAACAGAAAATAAACATAGATGCTTACCTTGCTTTTGTACAATATACGTAATCATACTAGTAATATGACATTTTTAAATGAATGCTTTCTTAAAGTTTATAAATATTTCCAAATATAAATTCTTTATCACTAAAGAAACATTTTTAGTCCAATAGAGAGAGGGGGAAAAAGCTTCATAGAAAGTGGTACTTTAAATTTTAAAATTTTTCTTTTTAAAAATTTTAATTTTAAAGTCAAGAATATTTTGTAAAGGTTAGATGTCTTATTTTTACCTTCCAGGAAGCATTTATTCCTGTAATTTTCTACCAAATTACTTGTGGCTGTTTTTTTTGTAGTATGGGGAGTTTGGGTGGCCTAAAGATAAGAGATGGCACTGCCAACCCAAAAGCAGGCAGTTCAAATCTGCTAGTCGGACTTGGCCGCTGGGCTTGCAAATCACATGGCCCACACACTCAGCATATAAGACTATGGAAGAGAGATAGATGAGCAATCTCCAATGTGCAGAAAATTGGAGACAGAGAATAAAAAGAAGAACTCGCTCAGCTGAGTTTCTCAGGCTGAAAGAATTGAAAATTCAAACCTCAAGTTGCAATACTGAGACGCTAGGGGTACAATCTTGAATGATCCTGGAAGCATTAAAAGAGGATGGAAGGAATACACAGACTCACTGTGCCAAAAAGAATGTATTAATGATGTAAAATTTCAGAAAATACCATATGAGGAGCCAGTGAAAATGAAGGATGAAGTTCAAGCTGCACTGGAAGCATTAACAAAATTTAAGAGCCCAGGTTTTGATGGGATACCAATAAACATGTTCCAACAGATGCAACCCTGGATCTGCCCACCAGTTTATTACAGCAAATGTGGAGGGAAGCTACCTGGCTAACTGAGACAAAGAGGCCCATATTCAAAAGTAAGGTGGTCCAACTGAATGCTGAAATTATTAAATAATATCATTAATATCTCATGCGAGCTAAATACCGTTGAAGATTATTCAGAGTCAGCCACAACAGTACAACTGGCAGGGAACTATCAGAAGTACAAGGTGCCTTTAAAAGTGGCCACAGCACCAGGGATATCATTGCTGATGTCAGATGGATTCTGATTGAAAGCAATGAATACCAGAAGAACATCTGTCTGTTTTCTTGACTGTGCAAAGACATCTGACTGTGTTGATCATAACAAATTTTGGCTAATGTTGAGAAGAATGGGAATCCCAGAACACTTAATTGTGATAATACAAAATCAGTTCTTAACTCAAGAAGCTGTTGTCCAAACCGAGCAAGAGAACACTGCATTCTTTAAAATTAGGAAGGGTATGTTTCAGGGTTGTAGCCTTTCTCCATACCTATTCAACCTGCATGAGGAGCAAATTTGTGAAGTGAACTTTATGAAAAAGAACGTGGTGTCATGATTGGAGGAAGGCTCATCAACAACCTGCATCATTATGCAAATGACACAATTTTTCTTGTTAAAAGTAAGGCGGATGTTAAACTCTTGCTACAGAAGATCAAGTACTACAGCCTTCAATATGGATTACATCTCAATATCAAGAAGACAAAAGTCTTCATCACAGGACCAATAGTCAACATTACGATAGATGGAAAAAGGATTGAAGCTTCAATGATTTCATCTTTCTTGGATCAACAATCAACACCCTTGGTACCAGCAGTCAGGAAGTCAGGAGATGTATTGCCTTGGACAAGTCTGCTGTCAGGGAACTCTTTAAAATTTTGAAGAGTAATGATGTCAGTTTGTAGACTCAGGTACACCTGGTTCAAGCCATGGTCTCCTCAATTACCAACTACACATCAAAGAGCTAGACAATGAATAAGGATGACAGAAGAAATGATGCCTTTGAGTATGTGCTGGAGAAGAATATTGACTATCCCATGGACTGCCAAAAGAACAAACAGATATGTCTTGGAGAATGTGCAGTGAAAACATATTCTTTGGAGGCAAGGATGACGAAGCTTCATCTTCCATACTTTGGACATGTAGCTAGGTGAGGCTATTCCTTGGAAAGAAACATGCTTGGAAAGAATGAGGATCAGTGAGGAAAAGGAAGATTCTCAAAGAGATGGGTTGACTTGGTGACTGAGTGTCTCAGAGATGATGAGGATGGCACAGGATAGGGCAAGGTTCAGATTGGCTGTTCATAGCGTTGCTATGAGTCATACTCAACTTGATAGCATCTAACAACAACAACAATCCCACAAGAGTATCAGCTATGAGTTGCTTTCAACTCAATGGCAATAATTTAGTTTAGTTATAGATATTCAGAGACATTTTTTCCTTACTTATTCTATGAACAATGTCAGTGGAGTAGATGGTGTTTACCAGTCTCCATTTTTAAAAGGAGTTGGCTCATCAGTGCCACTTCTCCTTGTGAAGGGTAATCTCCACTCTCTGTTCCTTAGATACTTCTGGTCAGAGAAGATCCCTCACTTTGGTGTTTCCAAAACTATTCCTTCAGACGCCTAACATTCAGGACATTTTGTATTTTAATATACCTGGTAAGGTGGTATTTGTAATGGTGAAGAACAAAGCAATGACTCCCCTAAGGAACAGTAAGTGTTTTTTTTATCTGGCAATCAACAAGGAGTTCAAACATAACAACAATTGAGGGACTAGACATTTCAGTCTGTTGTATGTCGGGTTGTTGCGAGCCAGAAGTGGCTGGCAGTACCTAACTACAACACTCATTACCACCTCGAAACACATCATACAAGTGAAGACTAAACAATCCTCCAGTCTTCTGAACATAGAATATTTACCCATAAGTATACATGTCCAAACACTACATAGTAACTCCTTTTCCTAGACATTGCTGTCTGGTGGTTAGAGCATCTTAGGGGCAGGACACAAGAGAAAATCTGACTGAAAGTCTCCCTTCTAAAAGAGTTGTGCTCATGTTTTGTGTGAAGGTTTGACAATATTGGCATAAGCAATAATTAACAGACAAAATCTAAGACTTCTCTTTCTGAATTGAAACCTGGGGTTATAATATCATCTAATAATGAGATAAATATAGAATTGTATCACTATTATCAGCTCTCCACTTACTGTGTTCATAGAAAGGACATGTGACTTAGATTAAGACAAACACCTACTTTTAGCAGATAGACAACTTCTTCACCTCCCCTTACAGCTTTTCCCAATGCTGGGTTTTATGCATTAAAAAGAAAACATTTTCATTTTTTTAGTAAGGAATTGGTAGTTGACATTCTTAAACTGTCCCTCTCCCCAGAGGGAACTCTGGTAGTACAGCCCTTAGAGAGTTGTGCTTCCAACTCCACGGCCACACCTCTCTAGCAGTTTGATCCCACCAGTGGCTCTATGGGAACCTCTGGTGGGTTCAGACTGTGTCTGTCTTTTCCTGGGAGAAAGATGAGCAATCTCTGGTGCATTTGACAGCCTCAAATCTGCTGGAGAGTCAGTTATGAGATGGTTCTATCTTGCAGGCAATGAATAAATGCTGTAGAAGCAAATGCAAAATATTTCATCTCAGAATGTTTTCTCTAACTTAGTACTTTCTATACACTGCCAATCATTTTCAAAATCTCTCAAAGAGATCGACTGTAAAAGAATACAAGTTGAGGAGCAGAAAGTGTGTTCACCAGGTGTTTTTTTTTACTTTAGCTCCTTCCTTCCTTGCTTGCTTCTTTAAGAAGCACTAAGAAATACAACAATCAGAATCCAGACAGCGTAAATGAAGAGTCCCATGTAACACCTATCAAGTGGGATATCTTCAAAGAGCATAAATAACAAAGAAATGTCATTCTTTGGGATAGAGTGGCAAAATCTCCATCATCAGGCAAAGAGTTCTTACCTTGGAAAGAAAAAGCAAAGGTTCGTCTCTGTATCCCAGTCTCGTGTAGACAAACACAGGCAGGGCATACTCGTGGGAGGTCATAGTGGAGATCCGCATGGACTCATGCACCCGAAATTGCGAGAAGTGTAGAATGTTTTCACTATCCCCAAGGGATTTCCTGACCCCAATAGAGGGGTATAAAGCAGCACTGTTGTTCCACAGCCAAGACAGCTCATTGTTCCTCCGAACTTCTTCCTCTGGACATGATCCAGTATAGTTTGGAGCATAGACATTGTAATTGTGGCAATCAGGATATAAATAATAGCCCCATAGGCCCTTGGGTCGACTCCTGATCCCCAGTTTGATTGTTTCTTTCATGAATGCTTTTGCACTTTCTTCAAAGTTTGCTTTGGCTAAATATTCAAGCTCAGAAGCTGATACATTCTCCCGCATTTCAGAAATAAGCATTCTTGATTTCTGTCTGTAGACATCTTTTGTGTTCCAGTTCCGGGCCCACTGGGGTCTCCAGTATTCCCAGTCGATAACAGCAAGTCCACTGAAATCTTCAGCAGGGATGTAATAGTTAATGTCTTGGTCAGCTTTCTCCAGATGTTCTTGTAAACTTATGTTCTGGGGGAGACCTCCATTAATGGGAATCCCCTGTGATGTATACCACGGATAGTAACCCAACCTGTTGACGTAAAATATAGTGACATTCTGCCCCCTGGCCTTGGCCAGTGGGCTCCCAACCACCTGAAACATTTTCAAGTTTAATTTTATATTGTATTTGATTGAGCATTGGTCTGTTGGGGCATTCCAGGCAGCTATAAAAGGTTTCCTTTGATATATTGGGAGTCGAGCAGGTTTCATAGAAGACATAGACTTAAGAATGAAAAATATGAGCAAGCATGATGAGAGGTGTACTGGCTGAACCACACAAAGCCTTAATTGTCCTTCAGGTAATATTTTCATGATATATTAAGAGTGGTATATTATCTTCTGCTTTAATGAACTCTGGAAGACCTGTGGATATATTTAATTTTCTGTTAGTGATAGCTTTGAAAAGGAGTTCTTGTAGCATAATGAATTGTGTGATGTACAGTTAAACAAAAGGTCAGAGGTTCAGATTCACCAGTGGCTATACAGGAAAATGATGGGCAGCCTCTTCTCATTAAAATCTACAGCCTCAGGGACCCTATAGAGGGTCACTATAGTGGGAACTGACTCAACGGCCATAGATATGGTTGGTTTGGGGTTTTGACTAGGGAGGGCACATGAGTTTTGTGGGAAATGATACAAATATTGCCTTGTTGTTGTCTTCGAGTCACCTGCGATTCATAGCAATTCCATGTCCAACAGCCCTAAAGCCTGCTCCATTGACTAGGTACTATGATTAAATATGTACATTTTTAAAAGTTACTTTATTTCAGAAACAGTAGATTGCCATGTAAAGCAGGGACAGTGACCTAAATTCTATTAGAAGCAAGCATTGTGTTCAACATCCCTGGAGCACTAGAAAATATAAACAAACAAGTACATACATATGTTGGTGGGGGTGTTGATCGCCTTCGAGTTGAGCACGACTCATAAAGACCTGAAGCCCCTCTACAACTACTGACATTTATCAAAAACCATAGTGTTTGTAATTTAAGCATGTTATTTAAGAAGTGGATGCAAACGATAAAATAAGCAGTAAAATGAAAATCACCCCAGCACCACAACAAGCACTACAAACTGGCAAATAAGTGCTGTACATAGGAACAAACCATAAACCAAGTAAGCATGTTGTTTGTTGTTATGGGCTGTCAGATCACCTGCAACTCATAGTGACCCTATGTGCAGCGGCTCTGAACCAGTCTCACTGATTCCGACATACCTCCCCCCACACTGACTCAGTTACTATAAATCCATTTCATCCGGTGTCTTCTCCTGTACTGTCCCTCCACCCTTCGGAATATGATGTCCTTCTCCAAGGATTGATCCGTCCATGCCCAAAGTATATGAGATGGAGCTTCAAAATCATAGCCTCCAAGAGAAACTTGGTTTCACCCTCTCCAAGACAGAACTATTTGTTTTCTTGGCAGTTCATGGTATGTTCAAAAAGAATCTTCTCCAGCACCACAACTCAAAGGCATCAATTCGTCTTCGGTCATCCTTAGTCATTGCCCAGCTCTCTGATGCGTTGCAAGTAACTGTGAAGACCATGGCCTGGAGTAGGCTCACATTAGTCTCCAGACTGACATCGTTACTTCTCAGTACTCTGGAAAGTTTCCTGACAGCGTATTTTCCCGGTGCAATTCGAATTTTAATTTCCTGACTACTAGTTGCAAGAGTATTGATTGTGAAGCCAAGCAAGCTGTAATTGTTAACAACCTCAATCTCTCCTCCATCTATCATGATGCTGCCCATTAACCCAGTGGTGAGAATCTTTGTTTTCTTGATGCTGAGCTTCAACCAAAAAATTGAAAAGTACAGTCCTTGACCTTCTGCATCAAGCGCTTCAAGTCCTCTTCAGTTTGAGCAAGCAAGGTTGTGTAATCTGCAGAACTCAGGTTGTTGATGAGTCTTCTCCAATCTCGATTCCACATTCTTCCTCATAAAGCCCAGCTTCCTGACCTGTTCTGCATATAGATTGAAAAGGTAAGGAGAGGATGCATCTCTGAAACATTCTTTTCCTGATTTTGAACCATACAGTGTTTACTTGCTCTGTTCTGAGGACTGCTTCCTAATACAAGTATAGGTTTTGCATGAGCACAATCAAGTGTTCTGGAATACCCATTCTCCTCAAAGTTAGCCACAATTTGTTGTGATCCACACAGTCAAATGTCTTTGCATAGTCAATTCCTAGGACTTTTTTTTTCCAAATCCTTCAGAGCAGTCTGAACTTCCTCCTCCATCACCATTACCTCTTGCTCATATGTTCTTTCTTGAAATTCTTCTGTGTCAGCCAATTGTTTTTTGGTACAATGACTCTATATACTCCTTCCATCTTCTTCTAATGATTCCTGAATCATTCAATAGTCTACCCTTAGGATCCTTAAGCATTGCAACAAGTGGCTTGAACAAGCGGCTTGAATTTGTCCTTTAGTTCCTTCAACTTAAGAAATGCTAAGCAAGTTTTTGATTTTCAGATTCTAGCACCTTGCACATTTCATTATAATACTTTTCTTTGTCTTCCCAAATTGCCCTTTGAAAACTTCTATTCAGCTCCTTAATTTCTTGATTTCTTCTCTTTGCTTTGGTTTCTCAGTGCTCTAGTGACATTTATTTTGGTCTTTTCTTCTTCTGTCTTTGTAATCACATTTTGCATTCTTCATGGACGATATTCTTGATATAGTTGCATAGCTCATCTGGTCTTTGTTCATTAGCATTCAAGGCCTCAAACTTGTTTCTGAGTTGGTTTTTAAATTCAGGAAGAATAGACTCAAGATCAAATTTTGATTCCTGTGGACATGATTTAACAACTTTCTTTAGCTTTAATTTGAACTTGCATTTGAGTAGTTGATGGTCTGTTCCAAAATCCACACCTGGGCTAATTTTTATTGCTGATATTGAACTTCTCCAATGATTCTTTCCACAGATATAATCAGTCTGATTTCTGTGCATACCATCAGGTGAAATTCATGTGTATAGCCTGCATTTATATTTCTTATAAAAAGTATTTGCTATAAGTAAGTTATTAATTGTACAAAATTCTATCATTCTATCCCCAGGCTCATTTTTGTCACCGTCCATATTTTCTGACTATTGATCCTTATTCCTGGTTCCCAACTTTTGCATTCTAGTCACCCATTATTATCTTGGTTACATGTTCGATCAATTTCTGACTGCAACAATTGGCAGAAATCAGCTATTTCCTCCTTTTTGGCTCTGATTGTGGGTGCATAAATTTGAATGATAGTCATATTAACAGGTCTTCCTTGTATGCATATGGATATTTTCCTGTTGCTCACAAGATGATGCTTCAAGATGGATTTAAAAATGTCCTTTTTAACTATAAAGTCATCCCATTTTTCCTCAGCTTTTCATCTCCAGTGTGGTAGAACATATGATCATTTGATACGAAATGTCCCATACCAATCCATCTCATTTCTCTAATACCTAATCTGTCAATATTTATGTGTTCCATTTCTCCCTTAATGCTGTCTAGTTTTCCTACATTTATGCTTCTCACATTCTACATTTCAATCATTAGTTTCTGCTTACAGTTGTTCCTCTGCCTTTGTGTTTCCAAATTTGAGGGCTTAGCCCCAGTTCCAATTACCCTGTTAGTCTGCTCTAAGTGTGTTCTATTGTAGATAGTTTTTAAACGATTGTTATATTTCAGAAGTGGATGTCCATACAAATATCGTAAAATAAGCATGCACACTATAGTGTGTCCAAGGTATGTCAAGAGGTGGGACACCGAGCCTGGGGCAAAATGTCTCCTGATCTCTGCTGACCTAGGCTACTCTGCTTGGCTAAAGATGATGTCTTTTCCTGGAAAAAATTTTCGAAAAGAAAAATATTCAGATGGCCGATAAACACATGAAGAAATATTCAAAATCACTGGAAATTAAGAGAGACACAAATCAAAACAAAAATGAGATACCATCTCGTCCCAGTAGCAGTGGGAAAGTTTAAAAGGACAGCAGGTAATAAATGTTGGAGAGGATGCAGAGATATAGGAACTCTTATTCACTGTTGGTGTGATTGTAAAATGGGGCAACCACTCTGGAAGGGAATTTGGCATTACCTCAGAAAGCTGATATAGAAGTTCCATATGACCCAGCTATTACACTGCTTGGAATATACCCTGAAAAAATGAGAACTGAGGCACAAATGGAAACTTGTACACAATGTTCATAGCAGCATTATTCACCGTTGTGAGAACATCGAAACAACCCAGAAGATCAGCCACAAATGAATGGAATGAGAATTATGGTACATTCATATGATGGAATACTATGCAACATGCAGGAGTAATGATTTTGTAAATCACTACCTAACTTGGGAGGGACTGGAGAGCATTATGCTAAGTTAACTAACTCAGTCCCATAAGGACAAATACTATTGTAGAATATGTATGAGAATCAAAGGGGAGGGGAGCAGAGGGCTGAGGATGGAGATGGAGAAGGAGGTTGAGGGGGTAATCATAGTGTCGCACAATTTGATGGGGGGAGGGGAGGGGTAGTAAAGGAAAGGGGAAAGATACGGTGTGTTAAAAAATGTACACCAACTTTGTAAGTAAACCAGTACCCAAAAAAAACTATTAAAAAAAAAAGATATAAGGGATGTGGATGTGCTGGGGGAGGAGGGCATTAACCATTGAGTTTTACAATTTGATGGTTGTGGGGATGATGGTTGGGGGGGATGAGGGAACTTGAAAGAATGTGTTCAAATTTGAATTTGAATTTTGTAAATAAACTAGTAGAGGAAGGAAGGAAGGGAGGAAGGAAGGAAGGAAGGAAGGAAGGAAGGAAGGAAGGAAGGAAAGGTGTTTTTTTCCAATCTAGAGGATGAAAGCCTCCTTGTCAGAGGAGGTTCCTTCTCTAATCTAGGGGCTGATTGTAGTCAGGAGCGGCACAGTCTGCTGGCTGTGGGAAGGATGCTCTGAGAACTAAAGCCTCCAGAAACAGGACACCATGAGCATGGCCTGAGGCAGAGCTGGGGCTTGGGGTAAAGGATAGAGATAAGAGGAGAGTTGAAGGGTGTTGGGTAGGAGGGTAAGGACAATATTTCCCATTATCTGGTGAGTAATGGGGTAGGGAGGAAGGCAGAGGAGACAAGGAGGGGAGTGGACCATCTCAGCTGTGTGGACATGCTGCTACTGCCACCCCCCTGGGTTCTATGTCACCTGGATAGCTGTTCAAGATGGCCACTCTGCACTGTTTACTGTGCTCTTGCTCTTCCTGTTTGAGGTTTCAATTCATTTACACAACCTTTCCAACAGCTGTGGGTTGGTTCCCTGATTCCCACTCCACATGGATAGCTGTTCAAGATGGTAACACTGCTGTTGATGGTTCTGTGCTTGGTTTCTCTTT